TTTTCACGTCTGTCTTTTACTGTGTTGAAATGTCCCTCATTGAACTTCTGCACCAACTTTTGAGAGTTTTTCTCATGAAAGGATTTGAATCTTGTGAATGACTTCTCTGTATCTATTTAAAAATACCATAGGGTTTTTTAAATTTATGCATGTTAGACCCTCTTGCATCCACAGAGTGAGTCCCATCTGAATCACATTGTACGGCTTTTCTGATGAATCTAAGGATTCAGTTTACTAGTATTTTATTGAGAATTTTTGCTTCTGTGTTTGTCAGGAATATAAGTATGGTTTTGTTGTGTCTTTGATTTTGGTATAAGGGTAATGTTGGCTTTGTCAAGAGTTTGGCAGAGTTCCTTCCATTCCGATGTTTTTTGGAATAGTTTAAGAAATGGAATTAGTTCGTTAAGTGTTTTGTAGAGTTCAGCAGTAAAGCCATCAGGTCCTGGAATTTTTAAATGAAAAATGAACTATTTAAGTCATGTTACTAATTATCCTCAATTTTGTTTATCTTTTCAAAAAGCTAACTCTTCACTGATGTTTTACAATTCTTTTGTTTCTGTTTCTGCTCTGGTCTCTCTCCTCCTTATTTGGGGTTAGTTTGCTGTTGCTTTCCTGAGCCCTGGGGTGCAGCATTAGGCTGTGTATTCTGTTGCTTTAACACACGTAGATGCTGTTCTAACTTCCCTATTTTTGTTGAATTACACACTTCAATATGTTATCACTTCAATTTTTTCCAAAAATTTTTTATTTCCCTTTTAATTCCTTCATATACCCATTGGTTATTTAGAAGCATTATTTTATATATTTTGCATTCATCTTGTTAAAGTTTTATTCTATTTTAATCTAAGAAGATACATGATATGATTTCAAGTTTTTTAAGCTTATTGAGACTTCATTTGTGACCCAGCAGATGGTCTGTCCTGGAGGATGTCCATGTACTGAATGAGAAGAATGTATTTTGCTTCCTCAGTGAAATGTCTCAGGTTCATTTACTTTACAATATGGCTCAACTAAGATGTTCCTTTCTGATTTCCTGCCTGAATCATCTGTCCATTAATGACAGTGGAGTATTGAAGTCCCGACCATTACTGTGTTAGAGTTTGTCTCTCCCTTGATAACTAATATTTGGGAGTCCTATGTTGGAGGTGATATGTTTACAAATGTATCTCCTAGTTGAATTTATCTTTTCTCAACATATAATTATGTATTTGTCTCTTTTTTTTTAAAGTCTGTTTTGTTCTAATGACATTTATAGCTATACCTGTTCACTTTGGGTTTTATTTGTGGTATATCGTTTTCCAACCCTTAATTTTTAGTCTTTATTCAACAATGAAGTGAATTTCCTGTAGGCAACATATAGTTGATTTCTTTTTTAATCCACTCAGCTACCCATGCCTTTTGATTAGTGAACTTAAACCATTTATCATCGTGGCTATCGTTGATAGGTATGAAATTTCTCCTCTCATGTTTTCAATGGTATTCTGTTGGTTTGGGGAGCTGTAATTTTTTTGTTCTTTTCTATCCTCTTATTAGTTATTTATGTAGTTCAGTAGTCTCCTGTCATGATAAGGTTGAGTCTTCTTGTCCATGATCCACTAGTGAGTTTTGAATATTCACGTTTTCATGTTGGTAGCTGTAGCTATCCTTTTGTTTCTAGTGTATGATTTCTTTAACTATTTCTTCCCCCCTCCCCCATTTTTGGAGGGGTCTTTTTGAGACATGGTCTCCCTGTACCCTCAGCTGTTTTGGAACTCAGTATGTAGACCAAAGTGACCTTGATGTCATAGAGATCTATCTGCCTCTGCCTCCCAAGTGCTGGTATTGAAGGTGTACACTACCACACTTGGTTTCTTCCTCATTTTTAAAGGATAATTTTATTGGGTATAATATTCTTAGTTGGCAGGGTTGTTTTTTTGTTTTTTTATTTTGTTTTGTTTTTCCCTCTCAGTATTTTGCATACATTATCTCATTCTCTTCTGACCTGTAAATTTCTGCTGAGTAATGTGTTGTGAGTATAATGGGAATTCCCTTGTATGTGACTTGGGGACTTTCTGTTACTGATTTTCAGGGTTCTCTGTCTTTTACTTTTGACATTTTGACTCATGTATGTTTAGGTTAAAAGTCTGTATTGTTTGAATGTTTTTAAGGTTCTCTGAGCTTCTTACATCTGGATGTTCATATCTCTTTGATTTGAAACGTTTTTTACCTATTATTTCATGATAGATTTCCCTCTTCTTTTCATTTTGCAAGATTCCCATAATGTAAATATTTGTTCACTTAAATGTATTCTCTAAGCTTCCTTCTTTTCTTTTCTTTTTTGAGCTAAGTCAATTCTCAAGTTAATAAATCCTTTCTTTGGTTAGTCTGTTATCTAAGTTTTCTGCTATATCTTTTTAACTTAACTGAAGAAGTTTTTAGCTCCAAATTTCTAGGTGGGTCTCTTTGATTATTTCTGTGCCTTTGGTGAAATTCTGGTTCATATCCTGAATTATTTTTCTGATTTCTTCATATTACTTATTAGTCTTCTTTTTGTTTCACTCAGTTTCCTTAGGGTCCTTAATTTTAAATTCTTTTAGGGACGTGATAGATTACTTTCAAATTCAAATCCATTATGGAGAATTACTATTTTTGAGGTGTCATGTTTCCTGTCATGCTGTTAGTCTCTGTACATGGATATCTGTGAATCTGGCACATTTACTCTCCCAATTTTATAAAGGAGATTTTTCAGGAAGTTTGGGGATTTTGTTCTTCTGTTTTATTCTGTTCCTTATTTAGGTGGGATGTAAGATATCAGCTGGATCAGCACTTTGACAATTGAGTCAGTGCTGTGGGTTTAGTTATAGGAGAACTCAAAAACATCTGTGTCATTTTTCTGTCTTTAATGTCACCAGTGTCTGTGAGTATCTCAATAGTCTAAACTGTAATAGTTCATAAAACATTCATGAAGGAAGTTTTAATACTCTGCAATGAACATAGGCCTCCAAAGACATATGTCTTCTGACTTCACAGAATCAAGTATTGGTAGTATGAGAATTTGTGGTGACAGTGGTCATAGTATTAATGGTGTGGAGTAGACTTTGTCCCTAGGGGAAAGCACAGGTGACACCAAGAGTTATGGTATCAATAGCCAGAGTCCCCAAGCCATAGGATATGAGGATTGTCAGGGTGAGTGTGAATGATGCCACAGCTTGTATCTTCTGAAGCCACAGGATGGGGTAGAATTTTCTCCAGGTCCCACAGGGTGAATACAGATGATGCTGGGGTCTTAACCGTGGACTCAAGATTGAAACACAAAGGAGACCTCCCATAGGTCCTACATGATGTTGGGAGTGAGGCTTGTATTTCATCCATTATTCATCTACTTTCACAAAGCTATAGACCTGAAGGATACTTTTTCCAGGTCCCAAGGGGCAAACACAAGCAATATCAGGTATTTTGTCTTTATCACTGTGGTCCCAAGTCCATGGGTTGTAGAGGAAATCTTCCTTAGATCTCTCAGGGAAAGTGCACAGAACATTTAGGCTTATGAGACTTCTATCTACCTAACTGGAGATATAAGACATGGAAGAGATCTTCCCTAGGCCCTACAGGTTGAGCACAGGTAGTCGGGGCCTTGTGGCTTTGGTATCTGCCCTCCTAGAGTACAAGACACAGATGCAAGTGTCTTAGGTTACATAGAGAAAACTCAGAAGGGGACAAGACTTGTAGCACAGATCGTCACAGTTCTACACCTGACAGGACATGGATGGGGCCTTCCCCTGGTCCCTAGGCACAAGATGTAGGCTAGTGAGACAGCCTGCCCTAGTTTAGTTAGGACAGCCTGCCCTAGTTTAGTTAGGGTGCACACAGAGGTGCTAGGGATCAGATTGCTGGTAGCTAATGTTCCTGGGGCTGTGGGATGCAACTAGGACCTTCCTATATCATCCCAATGGACAGGTTCACATGAAGCTAGAACTTTGCAATAATAGCTATAGTCTCAAGGCTGTGGGTTGAAGAGAAGACTTTAATGAGGTACCATAAAGCAAGCATGCGTAGAACTAGACTTGTGGCTGTTATAGCCTCTGGTCCTAAAGCTTCAGGTCATTGAAGGAACTACTTCCATCCAGTGAGGTCAGCTGGCATCCAGCAGTGTGATGCTGTGGCAGCTTTGGTTCTGGGGACTTAGGGAAACCCAAACCAAGTTCCTTCTTTGGCGCAAGCATTCTCTCTTGGCAAGCCAGCACTCCAGAGTGTGTTTAAAGCCTACATTGTATGGTTAGGTCTGTCTGTGACTGTGGTGGCTGCACTCTCCTGTTAGTCTTTCCAGTTTGGAACATCTCTATCACATCTCTTTAGCATGAGGTAAAAAGCATATACTTTTGCTTTCTTGATCTGGAATACATTATGTTATTGCAACTAGTGTCTGTTTTCCTATTGTAAAGGGACAGCTTATCCTGCCATGAATATCTGTATGTTCTCCTCTATATAAATTATATAAAATTCAGGTTTTCCATACTGCCTATACTGTGCAGAACTCCTTTGAGATTGCCATATTTTAAAGAGGAAGAAAGGACTCTGTTAGTGTCTGTTCCCACAGCTTTCCACTGCAGACTATAAATTAGGGCTGGAAAGACTGTAATGAGTCAATAATTTATAGACTATTAAGATACTTACTTAGAAGTGATTCTGGAGCATGTTGAATAAAGAACACATGTTTCTAAAAGACAAACAGATTCAACACATCTCCTCTTTACTTAGCCCAACCCATTAACAAAACAAAATGGGATGCCTTATTTTGCATATCACCCACTTCCCCAAAATAGACTCACTAACCACTTGTTAACCACACTGACTTTTTAATAGACGGAATGGTCGCTATAGCTTTGCCACCAGAAATATCCATATTAAGCACCCTATTAGACCATAGCCAGCAGTCTACAAAATGGGAAGAAAGCTTTCTGCCTCTTCTCCTTGTTCAACTTGATGTGATAATTCATTGCAGATTTCTTTCTCTTTGACAGAGTGCCTACCGCAGGACTGGGATGGCTTTCCTAGCCTGCTGATGGGACCAGCAGAGACTGTGCCTACAAGAAAGAGAATGTTACACCCAGGTGATCCTTTCCCCTCCTGGCATAAAATAAAATGCGAGTTTACCTTCTCCTGTCCTAGGTGGTGGCCTGGTTTGTTTTTGACTCTCAACTATCTGACTGTTCTTCTTCAGCCCCCTCAACACTTAGCCTTGTTTACAGGATGGGCCATTTGCCTAATTAATGGCAGGATGTTGGGAATAGTGTGTAGGTGGACAAGAATGCAGATCACACAATTTTGAATTTTTAATTTGGCTCGGATTTGCCGCCCTCAGCTCATAGCTCTTAAAAGCAGAGCTGTTTTTCCCTCTAGTGTTTAGTCTGTCTTTTATTTGATATGTTTTTATAATCTAGGTTTGGGACAAAAGAGACAAAATTAAAAGGACAGTCAGTTGTCCCCTCCCACTGACCCAATTGTACTTTTCAACATATTTTAGAGATAAGTATTCACTTTATAAACTTACACCAATCAGAGATTCAGCTGACCCCGCAAGCCGCCTATTCCTCTTCTTCCCTTCACCCAGCCTGGGCCACTTTCATACCTTCCGGACTTCCTCCTTCCCCTACTGTGGTCCTCCTCGTGGAGAACTTCTTCCTCCATCTTCACTTCCCCGCTTTCCTGGTTTGAGCACTCCAAGGTCAGATGCTCTGTGCCATACCCCTTCAGAAGCAGAGGTCGAAGGGGAGCCTAAGGGTTTGTCTCCTCCTGTCAGAGCACTCACCCAGGTCTGGAAACTGGGTTGGCACTGGCACGGTGCTGGCTAGGAGCAGCCATGCTGCCCTTCTGGCATCTGTACTTTCTCAAGTAAATGAGGAAGTATAATTCTTTGGTACAAAATATAGCAGATGTAATACAGTTCCTGATTAAATATGATTGCAAAGGAGGAGTTATGTCTTTAATTCTGTGGGTGTTTCAACTTAAGCTTTTATCACAGTTTTATACACACTGAAGTAGGGTTTGCAAAGACAGAAGAGTGAAAGAATTTTTTGTGTGTGACCAAATTTTGAGTTTCGATTGACAGGTGTGTGCCACGTCATACACATTTGTTACTGTCCTTTACCTAATCTGTGGTAATCATTTTCAAAAAAAAATTAATGTGCATGTTAGAAACAAAAAAGTACAGATATTTAACAGCCAAAAATTGCCAAAGGGTTTTGATGTTCAATCTGTGCTTGCTGAAAAGTATGATTAAGCTTTTCTTTTTATCATCATCCCTATTTTCCTTACATCCCTAATCATGAGAAATTAGAAGCCTGCAGTAAACATCCTTGCTTTTGAGATGACAGCGTTATTGCATTTCATTTTCATCTGCCAGGCTCATAGGAGGTATAAAAATTTCAGGGGCTAATTTTTTCCTATTGAAAATCCTTCTCTGCCCCACATCATGTATTTTAAAGTATGCACAAGGCAGAAACTACAGGGCTTTGTTTTTCCCTTCATTTTATTCTACCTGATCTCCTTATAGTCCCAGAGAAGGAAGACTCAATGTACATTTCTCTCAGAAATATGACAGGTCTGTGTTTTTGTTGGTCTGCTGTATGTTTGTCTATCTTGAACAGTCTGACAGGTAATTATTTATAAAATCTGGCTTTCCCCAGCAAGTTCATATAATAACCTTTCACTTTTCATCATAAGCCAGAGAGCTGAATTTAGAATAAAACAAGGTCATTTATGTCTGTCCTGAACCAGTGTAGATGTACCCATAATTGCTCAATATTAATATTTTTAATTCTTTTTTTTCCTTTCCTACACTTAGGTTCTTTCTCTGACTCTTTCCACAAGACTAAATTTGAAGTGAAATAAAATTTCCTTGAGCAGTGAGTATAGAAATAAAGTTTATAGAAGGAAAGTTTCAGAAAATGTCACCAGTCAGCTATTCTCTTAAGATTAAAATGTCACATAGTATCATAGTTAGAGAAGACCAGGGTGTTAAAGATCATTGTGAACAATCAAGCACTTTACAGATGACAAAGAACCTGGAGAGGGAAAGTGACTGTTCCCAAATCACTGAGTGACGACAGGAAGAGACCAGATGTGATAACCAACCCATGGTGCCTCATACCACACTCCTCCGTACTGGACTTACATAAGACCATTACCAAGACACACTCAAGTTTTGTAGCATATTTTTCCCTCACAATAAAGTAAACTTATTTTTTGATCATACTAATTACGGACGCATCCTAAAGCATGTTATATGGTAAAGTTTTCAAGTTGACTGTGCACATCAGTTTACACACCAGGCTCAACTCTAAATCAGATGTGAATACACAAGCTAGTTTTCGGTTTGATTTGGGGTCTTTTTCCCCCTTGAATTAGAGACCAAGTTGGAAAATAAACCAATAATAAGTAACTTCTGGGAAACTGATGTTGCCCCTGGACTAAGGATAAAGGAGACAACTATTTCCCGTTACCTAAATTTGAAGTGTGATGTTCCAAAAATGCCATTTAGAGGTCACATCTTAGTCCTGCCTTCACATATTGTAATAGAAGAGATTCAAAAGTAATATTCCAATCTTAGGAGCAAGGATTTTTATTTGAAAACTGTCAGAAGCACAAATATTTTTAAAAACCATTTAAACTATTATATAGTTCCTGTATCTGGGGTGAACTCCCAATATATTACTGTCTGTTCTTTGGTCTTAGAAAATAATAAACAACACACATTCAGTGTTTTTTACCATGTAAAAGATAAATAAACATACCTGGTGATAAGCAAACAAGTTTACTTGTCTAGAAATTGTAAGGTTTAATTTTATGGATTTTTTTTAATATCACTCCCAAATCAGCCATCGCTTTCCAGCTCATATAAACCCTGTGTGAAAGTAAATCAGTACAGAGAATGTGTTCTCTCATCTGCCCTCCTGGAACTTAGATAGACCCTTCCCAGGTTGCATTTAAAATTCTCCCATCAACCATGTATACATCTCATAAAATATTTTACAGCTTCCTGTATGCTCTGGCTGAGCATTTCATAGCACATAAACACTTCTACAAATAATGTAGGGGCGGTGAGCTGAATGTGTCACATCAGAACCTCCCTCCATGAAGCTAAGTCCCCAGCAAGGTTTCATCTTTTGAAATCCAAGATGAAATCCTGTGTGCTGCTTACCACGGTGGGGGCGGGAAGGGGCTGCGGACTTCAGCAGTTTCCGAGGAGTTGTGTTCATTAAAGCAAAGGCTCTCTGCAAAGGGCATCCAGCCAAGCTTAAACAACAAAACCATGCCTGCAGGAATTGGATATAAATGTGATGGTTAAATAAAGGCCAGATGCCCTTAAAAACTCAAATATTAAAAAGTCATATCTCTTAAAGTGAGTCTCAAGTGTTTTGAGCAGGATAGTGATACCCTGGCAAAGAGAGAGAGAGAAGGGGGCCGGGGAGGGAGAGACTTGTATTGGTTTTCTGGAACAAATATCAAGTATTCAGGCTGTCCTAAGTCATGGATATTTTGGCACTTGAAGCATACTTTAAAACAATCAATTCCTACAAAGTTACACGAACACCACATACAGCATTCCATCTTTAGAAACTCCTGTCATTCTGCATAGAGCCTTGGGCTCATAATCCCCTTTCTGTGTATCACTACCCAGCAGTCACTATTCTCACTTTTTTCCAATGAGAAGTAAACGTAGAAAAATATATAGGAGAAAGCAAGAATGAAGAAGACCAAATACAGTTGTTCTTATTGCCTTGGACTTGCTGCGGAAATGACGATGCGAGGGGCTGAAGGATGGCTTAGCGACCAAGAGCCCCTACTGCTCTATCGTGAGGACCCCAGCACCCAGGGAGGTCCAATGGATCTGCGGTCCTCTTCTGGCCTTCATGGACAAGCAAATTCACATGTGCTTATTCTCACACAGGTACACATACACATAAATAATAAAAATGTGTTAAATTAATTTTAAAATCAACATGTCAGCAGTTTCCTGAGTTCAGCATAATACTAAGAGCACACCACTGTGAGTGTCACTCTGTGGGTCGTCTCATTGTGTGCTCCTCACCCGTGCTCTATGAAATGCACACAGTTCTCCTCGTGTCTCAGGCAGGAGAGAGAAAGCGGGAAGATGGCATGTTCAGTGCTTTGTACAGAGTTATCCAAAATGGAGCTGGCATTTGTACCCAGAACTTTGATTCCTCTGTCACACAGTGTGGAAATACACTAAAGGTTTCTGAGGACATTTTGAAGAGAATGGCTATGTAACTTTGAACCTAAAAACATTTAGTATCAAAAAACTTGGTTACAAGAAAATTTCACTTTAGCTCAACATTCCTTCTTGAGGTATTATGTAAGTAATACCTAATTCTTTATTCCTCTTTAATGTCTTAAACCTTAAGAAATATGTATGAACAGGGTAATACATATCAAGAGTCTGGGTGCTGGGGAGGTGGCTTCAAATATGTGTGTTTGCTATGCAAGCAAAAGGACCCAAGTTCAGATCCCTAGCACCTACATAGAAAGCCACATGTGACCATGTACACCTATAACCCCAATACTGGGGTAAGGGGCAGAAATAGGAGGAATTCTAGGGCTTGCTGGCTGCCAGCCTAGTAAAAAAAAAAAAAAAAAAAAAAACCAGAAAAACAGCGAGTCCTCCTCTGGCCACCCCATAAGCACATTGACCTGCACACATACATACCCAAATGCATGCATACAGTACACACACATGCACACAAACACAGAGGAGGGTAGATAGAATTCCTATAAAATGATAAAGAAAAACTTCCAAAGATCCATATATACAAATCCTCTCCTTTCTGAAGAACATATTTCGCCACAAGACTCTGATTACAAAGGCTACTATGTTATGCTTGTCCATGTTCCAGAATAAGCCCCATCTTGTTTGCATGTGTTTGCAGTGGCCAATACAGAGGTACGTATGGCAGTGCTCTGAACATTCATGCAAATGGCCTTTTAAGTGATTGCGTGTTAATAAAGATGTAACAGGCCCAGTTTCTCCTACTCTGGCATGTTTGTGTACGTTTTGGGGAGAAGTCATGTCAGATAAATAGGAATATGGAAAGTGGCTAAGCACGATTTGCATTACAAATGATCCTTTTCCTTTGTAGTCAATACT